AAAGAAAAAAGGAAAAGAAAGGGGAGAGGGCATTGTAAATTGTAATGTAGTGAGTGAGTATTGAAATTTGGAATATTAAGAGAAAGAGGGAAGAAGAAGAAGAAGAAGAAGAAGAAGAAAGAAGGAGAAGAAGAAGAAGAAGAAGGAGAAGAAGAAGGAGAACATATGGTAAAATAGAAAGAGAAGGAAATGTGGTGACGAAGAAAGCAGGCTTTAAGTCCCATCACGTAGTTCGATGTATGCTTTACCTTATATCTGGCAGAGAGGTGTGTAGTAGAAAATGATGGGGATTCGAATTTCGACACAATTTGGTGCTCTTATATATTAAACAACAAAAGCTAACCTACAAATCCACAAAACTACACTACACCTCGGGAAAAACATCTCAACTTTTTACCACTTCTCTTTTTACCCAAATGCCCCTTTCACTTCCCCTCTTTTTCATTTTTCATTTATGTATCTCTGTTTCAGGAAAAGACAGTGTTTTAATTTGCTTAGTTGTCAGCATTTATTATGCTGCAAACCCAAACTAAGAGTCCACGTAAAAACAAAAGCCTGTGTTTGTGTGTCTCTGTGTGTAATAATAATAGTGATCAAATTCAAACGCCATGTTTCATGTTTGTTTGTTTGTTTGGGGGGTTATGTTCTTTTTGTAGAGGGAAGGATTTTGGGGCATCTTATATCATGCACACCACTTTTTTTTTCTTTCTGATCTTGACGAGATCTGGTTTGATGAAACATTCCATTTTTTTGCTTTAAGGTCATTGCGAGGGAGTGTTCAAATTTGAGTTCTTTTTCCTTTTTCTATCGAAAATTACAGAAGGGACTGCCAAAACCAAAAAGGGGCTTTGAGAAGATTCAAGAATAAGTAAAAGGGTTGACAGTAGAAAATGAAAAAACAAACAAGAGTAGTTAAATTAAATGGTAAAAAAAGTTTTTGGTTTGACCGTAAAATTGACGGTTGGCATAGTCAATTCTCAAACGCACAGGCTGCACCACTGCACCATATATAACCTCTTGTGGTGATTTTTAAGTGGGTGCGCGAGGGATGGATGTCAGTAGTGAAAGAGAGAGAGAGAAAAAAAAGAAAGAGAGATGGACATGTCACGGGTTTGTCTTGAAAGGCCCTTATTTCACAGTCCTAGACAGACAGACACATATTCTCTCTCACCACAAAACCGAGGACCCAAAAACCAAACCTTTTTTTAATATAAAAAGAAAAACTAACTGCACGACACGACACACTTGCTTTTCCTTTGTTTTTGCTTTCTTTTATTGCTTCTCTCTCTTAAACATTTTATCCACCAGAGTCTCACTCGCTATCTCTATCTCTATCTCATCTGCAGCTCCCCAAAAAGACTGTTCCTTTCTCTTTCTCTTTCTCTTTCTCTGTGGCTGCTGCTTCATTCAGATTCAGCCATTGAAATGGCTCTAATGCTCGATAACTGCGAAGGGGTTCTACTGTCCCTAGACTCCCACAAGGCAATCCCCGCCCCATTCCTCACTAAAACTTACCAGCTCGTCGACGATC